TATAATTTTGTTGCGTGTCTGTTTATTATAGAAGATAGATAAGAATAAGGATTTGAAAGATTTTGCTTAGCCCACACTTTTTATGGTGTTTGAAACCAGTTCATCACCTTGCCTGTTTCATCAGATAGCCCATAGAGGGCATTTTCAAGGTCAAAACCGTATAGTCCTTATAAAAAGGAATTATGGTTGTTTTGCATACATCATTGTATCTTGTTCCAATAAAAAGGGGCCGCGGGGACCAAGTGGTTAAGGCGTCTGACATTCTGCCACCACTAGCCCTCCAACACTTGGTCGCTGGTTCGAGACCTTCGTAAGGTAGCTGCCAGGTACTGGCCGTAGGTCGGTCGTTTTACTCTGGGAACTCCGGCTTTTCTCTTCCACCAAAACCTGGCACGTCCTTATATGACCATAGCTGCTAATAGGATGTAAAACAAAAGCAAACCTAATGTCCCCTTAAACTGGATATAAGGACTGATTTACAAATGAGATTTTTTTTCATGATTGTAAGAACATATTTGATGTCAATGCATATTTCAATTTACAGTTGCTTTAACTTTGTGCCGTTAAATCACTTCCAGAGTTCACTTTACATTTCAGATTCTAAGGCGTGTAGTTGTTTCTGATGACTATTTTTGCGTGCAGAAATTTGTATAGGAAGGATGATGCTTTGCTATTTATTAATCATTTTTTCAAGTCATAAGTTTTCAGTTTGTTTTTCCAAGATAAAGAAATAGTCAATAACTGATCGTCTATGTATATAAACAGATCACTAAATTGGTGGTACGATATTATATTTTGTACTTATTCATTGATTACAATTTTGAAGGTCATAGGTTTTTAGTGTGTTATTCCAAGATGTAGAAATAATCAACACATGAGGGGATTCTATTTCTGTAAAAATGTCACTGAGAATGGTGGTACGATATTTATTTTAGGACTTAATATCATAATCGCTAGATTTGGATTTTTAAAAGGACAGACACGCCCGTATTTAACCTGCTTCTCCGTTCAAAACGATTAACTTTACCGTAAACATTTATTTTTTTATGGAATTTGATATGTAAAGATGATATGTTTGTCTGAGAATAAGTAAACCAGCTTAACAATAACGGAACAATGAAAATGTTACAACACGCAAAGTTAGGCCCAAAGCAAGTATTTTGATTTCCCGAGCTATTTAAAGAAGCGGTTATATAAATGTTTTTGTATACAATACACTTAAACGTATAACGTAATAATCATTCTCACCAGTATGACCTCATTCTTGAGATGTTAGGTGGTATGATGCTAATTTTTGTAGCAACTATTTTGGTTTCTAAAAATACATTTAAAAACAATTCGCCCTTGATGTAAACAAAATATTACAGAAAAACAAACAATGATGCGCCAGGCATAGTGCGGCCTAAGGTATGTAATGGTTTTCCAATTTATAAATAAATACAAATACAGCAATGACAGCTTTCGTGTATATAACACACTTCAAACTGATGGTGTGACATTTGTTTTTATAACTCTGACCTGATTTTCGATTGTATAAAAAGGAGACATATGGTCTGACTTTAAAATCAATTTTTTTTCAGATATTTTTCCATGTGTTTAAAAAGTGATATGTAATGTCTATTTCGGTATGTGATTGTATCATGTTTATAGGATGCTAGTAATTAACAGTGCTCACCCTTTAAAGCAGTGTAAGTCCCAGATCCTATGGACTCCCGTGGATTAATACGAAAGTTTGGTTTCTCATGCCACTTCCTCTAAGATAGGCATGTTTTAGTCAGTCTCATCAAGTCAACAGGGTGACATTTAGTTCTGCAACGTCCACCTAATGTTGGTTTCTAAGAGATGTAAGAAATCCTTAAAAATCCCCGTACCACTGCAAAAAAACACTGTAACTAAGAATTGGAAATTGTTTTATCTCATGGTTGATAAAATATACATTGCGGATTTTTTATGAGAAGTGATAAAACGATAAAATAAATACAATACAATCAACAACAGTAAACAAGTAAACAAACAGTGGTCCTAGGCCTGGATTTGAACCCTGAACTTCAGATTGTCAATGATCTAACCGACTGATCTACCAGGTCAACGGCGGAAGTGTCCAGGCCCAACTGTGCTAGAGTTATATCAAAACGGAAGTTACGGAGAGGAAACTATATATATAGAAAACACACACAGTACAATGGGGCGTGAATCCTTAATACAAGTTTTCGTTCCATATATCTGTATATGTTTAGGAGGATATTTTATGTTAATGTTTTTTTCTTTATTTATTATCATGTCAACATTTTGAGGCGATAACACTACTACAGTTATCAAATCATGTTAAGTTTAGGGCACGTATTCATGAAACCATTCAAATGCTCTAGTATTGATTGTTTGCTCAAGCCTTATTTCCTGTTCTGGTTATAAATCAATCTTATTTGTCAATGTTTTGGAATTGAATTGAAATGAAGAGACCTAAATCCAAATACTGTTTTTGATGTTTACAATCGACCTTTTATCGTTGACATGATATAAGTCGATTACAAGATTGTTGGTTTGAACACAGAATCCATGCTTGAGCATTGGAACAGTTTCATACGGGCCGAGAGGTCCTAGAACGTGTGGACCTAGGTAAATGTTAACCGAAATATGACATTTTCGATGTACTGATCCAGCTTGAAAGAAAACGCTGTTTATGTTAACGGATCGCCTAACTTGACGGAATGATGATCATTTTCATTGTTTTTAGATTAAAACAATTATATTTACATTTGTGCTGCAACCCTCTATATGACCATTCTCAGCAGAAATGCACATCATTGGAGTATTAAAGCAGGTACTCGCGTGACGTAACACATGGTTTACTTATGATGTCATAGATTAACCTTGTTCAATGAAAGTCTTGCCGCTTCGCCTTGGATAACATGGAGAATGTCCCCGAGTCAAATGCTCAAATGACTACGGTTAAATATTGGCGCCAATTTTAGTTAAGTAGGGCTTTTCCGTCAGGCCGACTTCATGCAATATGGATGTAACCGATTTGTATTCATACCGGCATGAAAATTAAAAACACGCCGTTCAAAGCCTATTTATCTACTTCCACACTAGGACTTGTATATTCGTTCCAAAAAAGGTTTACACGAAGAAAGCATCTAACATATCCTAAAGAATGGTAATCAGTTCTCGACATGTTTGAAATGAATTTATGATTACGTGCATTATCTAAATGATGTTATCTACACCCGGCTGTCTTTATGGATAGGTTTGGTAGTACAAAGTAATATGGCCTTACTTAATTAATATTTTTCTCAAAAAATTGCATTTAATATGCTTACCGTACATTTCAGCGTATTTCTCATTTCGTCATATTGCCTGCCCAGCCGAAACTAGTAGATTGCCCGCGAGTTATCTGCTACATAGATACTTTGAAACGCAATAAAAATCGTTTTTTTTCTAACGTCACGTACAAGACGTATCCATGTGACTGATCTATGTTTTCTATTAAGATTCAGCTATGAGTTGTCTTACTTTTTATAATTTGAATAAATATTATTAATAATAATATACCAAATTTATAGAGCGCCCTTTCTAATTTGTAAAACTTCTCTAAAGCAATTTACTACATATGGATAATAAATAGTATTAGTTATAACTGTTAAATAAACGGCTTACAATCACCATTATACATCAAGCAAGAAGATAATCATCCCAATGTGCATACACATGAATAAATAAAGGGTCGTATGTACATATAGCCCAAAATGCAGACGTGAAGAGGTCGGTTTTTATGTCCTTCTTGAATTTTGGCCAGGGTATTTGACTTTTTAACAGCTGATGGTAAGCTTTTCCACAACATGAACGTTTCATGCCATTCCATTTTCTGATGCAACCAACTATGCCGACACATAATACCCCATTAACCACTTTGAGACGACCTACGAACTAGGTTGTGATAATGCGGTATATGTAAACCTTCACCGTAATCGAGTCGTGTTCAAATCTACAACAATGTCAAGTATTCAAAGTGAGAACCATGGTTTAAGTTAAAAAAAAAAAAAAAAAAACACGTTTATTTCTTCATTAAAATGGTGACTGTCACTGACATCAATTTTATTTGAACAATCATAGGGGTCACTTGAAGACATCCTTTGACCATGTCGATCATATCAACATTCTGATGAAAAAGGAAACGTGTTCTTATGGTGAAATTGTTGTGACATTATTTTGACTGAGAAGAAAAACGTCCACCTAAACTTTTTTACTACTCAATTTTACGGAAACAGAATACGGCGATCGTTTCATTTTCATGACAACTACATTACTGATTAAGAAGTATAATTTGTGTTCTGGTCACAGACATATCGTTAAACATAAGATTTGGTCATTAATCGTCATTGGCCCGCATAGACCCTACAGTGTTGGCCATTGTTCTGTAAAACACACAATTAGATGTTATGAAATGCATTGACTTCTTTGAAATTGAAACCTATCCACAATTGTTAATGTTTTACAAATATTTACTTATTATGTTTTATCAAAAACATACTAAAAATTACACAAATTGCAATTCTGTAATCAAAATATGTATTTAATGAGTAAGGATTGGTCGGAAATGATTATTTCCCTCAATGTTACATGGAACCAGCCGTGAACTATGGGTTTTTGAAACGATATCCTCAAACTCGCCCAATACAGCAACATATCCGCCCGTTTCGTTGAATGTATATTACCTCCACTTGGCAGACCGCAAAAATATTATTCAGGTGTGAAATTGCTGTTACATTATTATGTAAATCCACACATTATAACTTAAGATGTATCATACCCATCCCGTCACACTCAATTTAAGAAGCATTTATATTATAATGTTTATCTGAACATTAATCTGTTTCATTCATCAATGGTAAGTTCAAGGGATTTTTTCTTACACGCACAAGGAAGACATGCAAAGAGAACCATAATCTGGAAATTCAGAAATCTCGTCTTTATAAGTTCGATTTTAACTTGGCATTGTACATCATCTCATTGCTGCTGTATACGCGACAACACTTAATACCGAACAGAATGTTTGTGTTTATAATAATGCAGGTAAAACAAGTTTGCCATTTATACATGCATTTACTTAGGAGAATATGTATGTTCCATATTTTGCACTAAGTTGAATATTCAAATCAACTCGGCAATAACGAAAGACAATATATGTATTAAAAATGAATTTGAAGTAAATGTATAAGCTTGATACACTTTCTTCACTTCAGCTAAACGCTTAACAATGTTGTATATCTTCTGAGGTATATTCTTGAATTAACTTTCATTTTATATTTATATCATCCCTCAGGTACTTTTGGTGTATCTTCTTCCGGGAGAGGCCCTCCAAACAGCCGACAGTCCCTGTCGTGAACCGGATGTGACTGAAATGGACAGAATGCAAAGAGGCATCTTAGAGAACTACATGTACATGTCGGAAGTGACAAGGAGTCGGAATCAAGTGTTTGGAGGGTAACTATAGATGTTTGTGAAAGTCGTTATTTGTTTAATTTGTTCTGATGTTGGTAACGTACAATGTACATATAACCAGTGTGTTCATTGAAGCTGTTTTTTCTCAACTTCGGGTGTTGAACATCGGATCAGGATCTGAAAAAATAAAAAGGTAAATAATGTTCATTACGGCGCAGCACACGGTGAAGTCCATTACGTCTCATTACATGTCCATTATTAGTTTATATTTAGGGATTATTAAGATTTAAATCACCAAATCTGTGATGATACTATATTATTTACTATTTATTATCTAGATAAGACATGGTTAGCTAAGACTGTGATATTCTGTACATGTATACTTATGTAAACTTACTTTTTTCTAATTGTTGAAATAAAGACTATTATAATTATTATCATTATGTTCTAGGTGCGTAAGGTCAACGTCTAAAGAACACAAGTAAAGAATCCTTAGTCAATTTTGTTTTTAAATCGAAAATGAAGGAAAATTGTCTTATTTTTTTTTTTAATTTAATTTAACATCGCAAACACATTATTTTTCGGAGCCTTATAAAAAATAAATAAAAAGATAACTGTACGTAACATTTGCAATTTTACCTTATTCGATATCCAATTACTCTAGGTATTGGTTTGAACAACGGTATACTAGTAGCCATGAGTCTTAAGGCAACGGCAAAATCTTTTTTAACAAAACTGCATTTTCTAGAATTTATCTGGTGTGTCAGTTTCAGCAATATTTGATTATAAAATGAAATTTGTGATTGATATTGTAGAAAATGCGCTACTGTTCCAAATCTTGTAATTTATTTTGTACAACTTGTGTCCTATGTTCAAAATGTTGTTATTTATATTTGCATCTCTCTGGACTGTACTATCATTGTTTACTCAATTCTGTATTTCGTTTTTTACTTGTAGAGTTGACCAAGATTGCCCATCCTACCGCCTACCACAGAAAGGAGAAAACCTTCCACTCTGTCCCACCTTCCAGGAAGTAGATTCCGACCCGACAAGAATACCATCTGACATCGTTCAAACCAGGTGTCGCTGTGAGCATTGTGTATTACGTCACAAGCACCGACGTCAACACATGTGTAAACCTGTACTCAGACACATCCCTGTCCTGAAGAAAGTCGGTTGTGTAGCCGGTGTGTTTGAATACAGAGAGTTCCTTCAGGAAGTATCAGTGGCATGCGATTGCATGAAGAAACAGGACCCAAAGCCAGAATACAAAGACCGTTCTGAATTGGTGAGAGAATCTCGGATCAACGATAATTCTGAATTGGTGGAAGAGTCGCTGATCAGCGATACAGCACAATACTCAAATACCGAAAAGATGGCCATTGGCTTTGAAACAGTAAGCCATATCCCTAGTTCCGTTAGTACGGATGACATTCAAACGGAAGACACGCGTAACCATAATCACCAGCATACTTCAGAACACACTGAAACTGAGAAAATGCCAAAATGAATGTTTTATTTCAATATTACGTTAATTTGAATAAGACTGAGAACCTAACTATAAATGACATATGTGGTTGTGTTTTTATTAAAGAAATGTCTTTCTCGAATTTATGAAAAAACATGTGTAATGTTATTTATCTGATATGATTTAAGAATTATTCAACATTGTAATCTTTATTATTTATCAACGTCCAGATGCCACCTGGGATATTTGTATCCTGATACATGTAGCTGATTGGGCTGATTTGTCATATCCTGTACAGCAGCGTACATTGTACATCAGTTTAAAACATACTATATGCAGTGAAAGAAGAGAAATACAATTAACTTTCGTCATCATATTTGTTGTTGTTTCAATATATATTCTGGATTACACTCAAACGTTAGTCAGATTTGTCCAGATATCTGTTGGATGTGATAATAGTTCGAATTTTATTGGCCCATGACGTATTGTAATTATGCTGATGTTACTCAGACGTGTGCTTCACTATAAAGACACAAACGGACGAACGACCATATGCAAAATGACAAAGGCCAAGAAAACAGCTGAAATAT